GTTTAGTATTTCTGAGTTTTTGCTTACATTTTACTCTATGATGCCTCCATCTTTCCAATTTTTTATAGCTATTTCTTTCAGAAGTTCTTGACTTGACTCTTTCTTTCATGATGACATAATCAAAGAAATTATACGTTTAAATGTTTAACTTCTATAATGAAGGCAGCCTTTTGAAATAAGTATTTCATACATATATTTCCTTCATTTACAAATTTCACAGACCAGCATGCAACACTTCTGTTAATTACACTAAAATGAATGCAATTTTTTTCTATTATTTTGGTTATTTTTATTGCTATTTATGATTTATGCTGCAAATTAATTTGAAATATAACTCCAACAATCATATGTATCATTCGACAGCTACTTAATTATTTTACATTTACCTTAATTTTTTATCCCGACATCTGACATTTACCTTTCTCTTGACAGTATATCTGACTCTAAGGGTATTCAACTTTTCTTGGTTCTTTGCATGGTAATTTGTAAGACATTTCTTCATTACACAGTGAAGCGGTCCAGAACTCGTGACCGGAACCTCATTAATGAATTGGAAGCTCTTCAAACTGTTCAAGAACTCCACGTTGACTAGCTCTACTTCAACTATAGCTTTCCTCATTGCTTTTCTGTAAGCTAGTTTGATGTGGATATTATCCCTTACTTCCTCAATTTTCCCAAACCCTAAGCCATCAATCTATTTGGTGCCCTCTGTCTTGTGACATTTTACCAAGACCCCAAGAGATGACAGCATGCGAAAAACCCTGAATTTAGATGATTAGCATATCCTTAAATGTTTATCCTTGTAAGGATTTATTGGGTGGTTCTGCAGTAATGTTACAATCAAAAACAGCCACAGGATAAAAAAAGTACTATATATACATTCCTATTTGCGACTGTAGTGTTAATCATATAACTGACAATATAACCTTTTTTAGAACATTAACATTGTGTGTTTTCTTCTGCATGACACTAAACAAGCCATTTCTTTTACTTATGCATGATTGCTTGCTGTTACTGTTCATATTTTTATATGTGCATTTTTCAGTTTGGGAATTGATGTAAGATGGATTCTTGTATCTCTCTTTAAAGACTGTAGACATTTTTATCTGTAGTTCCTTCACTTCCTCTTTCCATCGGGTCAAGTTAATTTCTCGACCTTAGCAGGCAGATATTTGAGTGGACGTAGCAGATGGTCTCCAGAACGCGGCCCACAGCGGCCCACTCGTGTTAGCGTGTGATGCTCAATTACGTCATTTTCCTCAAAAGTAATGATATGATTTGTTCTTAGGTTCCTGCATGATGATTGGCCTGACCATGCTGGATGATTCTGGTTATGTCATATCTTATTATCATGATATTTCCTATAAATGATGGGAAATATACTTTATATCATTTATTTAATCACCTTACTCTTTATAAATACACTCACACTGATCAGAGTCACTCATTCACTCTTTCAATCTAGCATATTGCAGTTATTTTCTCTATTTGAAGAAAAAACATTTTCATTACCATCATTAATTTCATGTTCATTGCATGTTCATTCCTTGGCACTCCCAGTGATAGACTTTTAATATGACAGACATTTCACATCAAAATTACTTGAAAACTATAGATGTTGAATGGAAAAAATTGAAAAAATATATAAAGAAATACAGTTTTTAGTTTGGGTTCTAAGCAATTTGTTTTCCTATAAGAAGCGTTCAAGATGAAAGTAAGCAGTTTTATCTCTATTCTCACGATTGCAAATATATATAGAGAATCTTTATGGTATGATACTATGCTTTATGTTAAAAGCATGCAGAAAGCATGGAGAACATTATCAGATGCATGACTAAGATGCATCCTTAGTCCCAGCAGCAAATGGTCCACGACGATCTAGATCAAGAAAAGGTGTGCCAGACTTGTCCCATCTGGAGGCTTTGGTACTTCCCAAATGAGAACTCCTTCGCCACCAGCCACTACCCTGGGGACACCTCGCTGCTAAAATCTTAGTAATTTAAATCCTCAGCTTGTGGCGACCAAGATGCATGCTGCTCAGCTAGCTGCAGCTGCAATGCTAGCTTTATGAAATAATGCATTCACATTTTATTTTTTATTTTTATTTTATTTATTTATTTTCTTTCTTTCTTTCTTTCTTTTTATTTTTTTTTTTTTTTTTTTTTTTTTTATTATTATTATTTTTTTTTTCTTACTTTCTTTCCAAATGTCTCAGACCATCTATTTTTCTAAAGGAATTATCTAAGCTTAAAGCAAGCTCATCAATTAGGATGGAATTTGTTGTGTGACAGTTATGCATAATATAGACTCATGCTTACCTCTGATTTCATAAATGAAGATTTACTGACCATTAAAAGCGTTGTGACTATGAAATAAGCATGATTTTTGTGTGACTAACATGGAAGTTGTGCATCATCGTGGAAATAATTAGTCCATATTTTCTTTCATGGCATAGCTGACTTAAAGTTATGGTATTGAAATCAAAATATATTCTGGCAAACTATTAGATTTCCAAACAAAAGTATATGTAAAATGTTTTCCTTTGTCTTTCTATGGTATAGAACTACTTGGAACCACAATGGTTCATAAAGTTTTTAGATTTGTTTTTAGCAGTTGCTTTGTTTTCCAGTGCGGCGTACCCTGAAGAATGGACTTACAGAAGAGGAAAAACGTCTCCTTGCAATGATTGCCGCACAGACCCGTTGAAGCCCCAGCAAACAAGTCTTTCCATACCAATCATCACCCACTCCTGCTATTCTCATTCTCTGGGACTTTCATGATATACCAAGGGCTCGTTCTAGAGTCTAATATAGTATTAGCAGATGTTTATGTTTATTCTTTAGGCTGACATCATAAATATAGTGTTATGTTGGTGATACGATCTAGTCAGTCAGGAGTAGTGAAAAACATCTCCAGGGTCGTCGTTCTGATAGCTGCATCATGGTCATTTTCTACAAGTATATTTTAGCTTCAAACAAATGATCCATGCATACCAATGTCCATATTTCACTAGCCTGTTTTTCAAAATGCAGTTCTCAATTGCCTAACTCCTAATAATGTAGGAACCTCATACTGCTGCACTTATAATGATTCTTGTAGGGCTATTGTGGGAGTCCCTGCAAAATTTACAAACTTCCTTTGTCTTTTCATATTTCCAGCAGCTTTTTCTTTTCTTTTCAAGATACTGTTTAGGTTGCAAATGAATTTTTACTATCCTATGTATGGCAAGTATTTTTCATATTTAGGAGTTTTAGAAGATAATTTAATCTGCTGTGATGTCCTGTTGAAAATATTGGCTATTGCCTTTTTTGTAAATAGTCCTGCATCAAGTTGTAAAGAGTGCTGTTGCCCTGTGCAGGCTTGTGCCATGAGATGTGTATGCTTCTTGAAGTATGTAAGGGTATATCCCTCAAAATTTCAGTTCATTGGACATCACTCCTTTTAAAGACACTGTCCCTTCATAAAAATATCTCTTTTCATCATTCTTTCAAGAGGATCTGGTTCTTTAACTGTAATATTTTTGGTGATTCACCTAAGGTCACAAACACATCTTCATGCTGGTCATAGATGACTAACAAATTGGAATATTTTGGACATGGTGTTTGCAATTCCTATATATACATGAGCTTTACTCAAAAACAAAACAAAATTAGACTGCATTATCATGCCCAGTTTTCAATTTGTAAGTTTTAATGTGTCCTATTTGTAGCGCCCACACATATCCCAACTGCATAGATGCTTATACTGCATATATGTTTAATTAAAGTGATCATTATTTCAGTATACATTTTCTCTGTCTTCCAGGAATACTCATTTGGTATCCTGTGTAGATTAGCTTCAAATATTTTCCAGTAATAACCTGAAGGGCAGAGAAGCAATTAATACTCATTGTTAGTAGAAATATTGTCCTACTGTAGATGAGGCATATGTGGGTTGTTGCATGGGGGTTCGCCTTTACTGGATGATTATTGATTTAAGATGCATTATCATAATGCAGTAAGTCAGGTTTAAATATATTATGACATTTTAATGTTACTTTTGAGATTTTGATACTCAAAATAGTGCTTCATGAAATTTAAATAAAAAAAAGGCTGTGCAGTTTTCTCATTCATAACCTTTCAATTACATGGAATTCATGCATAGTATGGTTGTAAAATATGTCAAATGATTTCAGTGAAAATAATTATCAAGGAAATTAAACATTACCATCTTCCACTATTTAATCATTTCCTAAAATCACATGGCTTTATTATGCAGATGTTGAAATGTGTTTATTCACTTAAGTTAAGAAAAAGACTGAGAGGAAATTGGAAAGGATGCAAATGAATAGATTATCACAACAAATCTTTTATTATAATTTTAAAAAATGTGTGTGTGTATATGTGTGTGAAACAGAAAGAGAGAGAGGGAGACAAAGACAGAAAATGAATGCATACGATAGAATAGAGTGAGTCAGTGAAAGCTACAACAAGAACATGTAAGAGAGAGAGAGAGAAAGAAAGAGTGAGACAGAGTAAAAAGAAGTGTGTGTGTGTATGGCAGTCAGTATCAATATGGCCTGCCATAATCATGCTTACATGGACGCCATGCCCGCTTGTGCCTGCATGGGCGATTCTAAATATACACTCCACGTGGACACCACCGCTTGTACACGCTTATAGGGCCAAGCAAATCCCGGCAGGCATACGGTTGCTGGGGTTAAGTATAAAGCGACCTAAGTTGACCTCTCCCTCAGATCACACCGAGACAGAATCTAACCCTTGTGCCCTGCGGACCTTCCCGATGTCACCTGTAGCTGGGAAGGGGTAGGGGGAGTAAGGGTTGAGGGATATTAGAAGGAGGATGGATGTCTGCAGTCACTCTGATTGTAGGTTGAGTGGGGGTAGAGATATTAGAGGGTGATTGAGAGAGAGGGGTATTTTCTTGGGCTATGCTCAGGTAGTTTCGGGTATCCTCAAGGGCTTCTGGAGGGGAGTTGGGTAGGGAGGTTTGGGGAACAAAGGATCTTTCATGAGGAGGTGAAGAGTGGGTAGGTACTTGAGAAGAAAATGTAGTTGAAGGCGTGTATGAGGTAAATGAAGATGGGGTAGAACGTTTCGTTTGTCTAGAGCGATGTCAGGGGAGTTGAGGAGTAGGCATAGGGGGAGTTGTGGATATTGGAGTATCTGGATCTAGGATGGAAAATGGGTTAGGGTAGAGGGGGGGGGGGGGGGGATGAGGAGTAGGAGGAAGATCCATTGTTGAGGATGTTGAGACAGATTGGGTAGAGGTAAGTCCGAGATTTTATTTGAAAATTGCTACCTCTGATTCAAATTTATAGGTAGGGCAACTATAAAATACATTGTGGGACAACAATTGGCACATATATGCAATTGTGCAGGGCAGTTTGCACGGTCATGACCAGGTTAGGCACATGTTAGGCATCTAGCTATGGAGTTCTTTGCAGGGTGGCCGAAATGTCAGCATATCCGGCATTGCCGAGGGGGGAGTCAATATGGTCTGACTTGGTACGATTCTCCTCCGATATGGACCTTAAAAGGAAGGTCATGTCTGCGGAAGGTAATCTTGACAATATTAGCGTGGAACTTTCGGCGACCTCTGGGAGGCATTGTATAGCACTGTCCTGATGTTGCATCATGGTGTTAGCAAGTCTAGCAGTTCTTCACAATCTGTCCGTACCCTGTTATACATAGGGCATTGATTTGGGGGAATGAAAACAGTTCTTGTACAAGTATAAAGGAGGGGTGGGGTTGTACAGGAATAGGTTTACCACTGAGGTCAACCAGGTTAGATCTTGTATGGGCTTGAGACTCAAATTCAACTGTGACAAGGCGTGAGCGATCAGGACGGTTGTGAAAGGGGATCTTACCTATTTGTTTTTGAAGGCATTTTCGGAAAAGAAAGGTATTGTCAGAGTACTGGGTTGTAGAAGGTATCACAAAAAACTGCCCCATTTCGCTGGGCCAAACAGTTTTCAAAGGGGTTATAAGGGTGGGAATTGTTGAAGGATAGGTCAAGAGGAAGAGGGTGTGGTGTGGAAAGGTGTAGTGATGTGTTGGGGGCAATAAGGTTGAAGAGTTATTATAAAGGAGGGGAGTGTAGAAACAGGAGGTATTTGTGTAGATGGTGTCAAGGACATTGGGGTTGAGAGAGGGGTGTTATTTGGAGGTTGGGTTATCTGAGTAGATGATTCAGTATGGGTTAAGTTGACAGCAGGTGTTGTCGAGGGGGGAGTAGAATCAGTGGTCGGAGCCGTGGTCAAAGGAGAGTCAGGGGTCGGTAATTCACGGGAGTCAGAATTAGGAAGGTTATATGATAAAGGGTCAAGCCTCAATGACCCTAGTAGGGGTACAAAATCATCATTACTGGCCATGGGAAGCCTGAAATAAGTGGGGATGATTAACGGCCCACACCTCAAGGTCTCCATGAGGGGTAAAGGCTAGTTAACTACCAAAGGAATACCGTGCCTGTGGCTCCCTGAGCCAGTTCATGACTGGCACGAAGTCAGCCTTTCATTTTTTCAACACGGCTCTCACATTTTAGGAATTGGATAGAGGAAGGGGTAAAGAAGGTAAGGAAAAAGGGAAAGATGGAAGAGACAAGGCCATGCAAAATTGGTTCAGTCGGAGGCTAAGGTCCAAGATAGGGGTGATCCCCTATATTGGGCCCCAGTCCTTGTGTCCGAAGTCCCCCACGACAGCACCGGGCAGGGAATTTAAAAAAAAAAAAAAGAAATGGATTCTGTGTCCTGATTGGCTACCTATCATCATCATCATCCGGAGCTAACGCCGTCGGGGGCGCATAGCCGCGTCCACCTGCTTCCACCTTTTGGGATCCCTCATGGCAAGTTGCCAGGCAGGGGCCCGGCCCATCTCGAGCTCTTCCCGACAGGTTTGATCGATCTGCCCAAGCCACGACCTCCTAGGTCGTCCCACAGGCCTCCTCCACCCAGGGTTGTCTCTTACAGAGACAACCTGATGGGCAGGATCAGCCAGTGGAAAGCGAGCCAGGTGGCCATATAGCCTGAGTTGGCGATCCCGGATTGTGCAGGTAACAGGTCCTGTGCCAGTCTCATGGTGCAGCCGTTGGTTAGACACATGGTCCCACCAACAGTACCCTGATCCGGCGCAAGGACGTATTACAAAAGGCGTCAAGACGAGACTCCAGTGCACTGGATAATGTCCAGGTTTCACTACCGTAGAGCAAAACTGGCATTACCAGGGCCCTGAAAACCCGTAGCTTGGTCCTTCTGCACAGGTAACGGCATCTCCAAATACTCTTGTCGAGAGAGTTCATGACCCCTGCTGCCAGGCCAATCTGTCTGCTGACTTCCTGGTCTGACAGCCCAGAGTTATGAACTGCACTACCAAGGTATGTAAAGCTCTCTGTGACTTCAATGTCCTCGCCGCAAGCACGTACCGGCTGAACAGGTTCTCCTAGCAAGTCCCCAAAGTCCTGGATCTTGGTCTTGGTCCAGGAGACCTCTAGACCCAAGGGCTTCGCTTCATTACTAAATGCATCGAGGGCCACCACTAAGGTTTCCAAAGACTCAGATAGAATTGCAACATCATCGGCAAAATCAAGGTCTGTAACCTTAATATTACCCAGTGTTGCTCCACAATGACTTTGAACAGTAGCTCTGCCTAGTATCCAGTCCATGCAAGTGTTGAAAAGGGTTGGTGCAAGAACACAGCCTTGCCTCACTCCTGAACTGACAGGAAAGAAGCTTGACAGGCCCCCACCACACTTTACAGCACTTTCAATACCAGTATATAGGTTTGCTATTCAATAATCCTTGTTGGAATTCCTCTCAGTCTCAGGATCTCCCAGAGTGATTCCCGATGTACTGTATCGAACGCCTTCTTGAGGTCGATGTAGGCTGCAAGCAACCCACGTCCGAACTCACGACGGCGCTCTACAATGAATCGAAGCGCAAGGATACGGTCTATTGTTGACACCAGGAGTGAATCCGGATTGCTCTGGCCTCTGATGCCTTAGTAGATGGTCTCTGATACGCCTCAGAAGGATGCGGTTAAGAACCTTGCCTGGTACACTGAGCAGTGTGATGCCGCGGTGATTGCTGCAGTCCCATCGGTCCCCCTTCCCCTTCCAGAGAGGGATGACCACACCCCTCAACAGGTCAGAGGGAACGGTACCGGACTGCCAAATGGCAGCCAGGACAGCATGCAATCCCCGCGCCATAGGTTCACCAACAGCCTTTAACAGTTCAGCTGGGATGCCGCAAATACCCGCTGCTTTACCACTCTTCAGCTTGGAGATCGCCTCCCTAACCTCAGCTAGGGAGGGAGGGTCCTCGCTAATGGGTGGGTCCGGCAACGAAATCACGGCACTACCCACATCGAAGTTAACTGTTGGAGGGTCAACCTGATACAACTGCTCAAAGTATTCAGCCCAACGCTCCCTCACCGCAACAGGATCTGAGACGATCTGGTCACCTACTAAGCGAACTGCAGTCACCTGTGAAGAGGGCTTGGAGTTCAGTTTTCTCAGGGCTTGGTATGCAGGACGAAGGTCATTTACTAAGAAATGGCCTTCAACCTCCTCAACAAGATTCCTAATAAACTGTTCCTTGTCCCTTCTTAACAGAGACCGAGTTCTGCACACCTGAGAACAGTGCAAATCCCGATCCCCTGTCAGACGAGCCGCACGGCAAGCATCAGTGGCTTCCAGTGTCTCCTGAGAGATTGAATTCTGTCTTGCTCTCAGGCGTTCTCCAATCGATTCTTGGGCTGCATCAAGCGTTTCACGCTTGAAGGTGTCCTACAGAAGTACAGGGTCCGTCAGGTTGTCAAGCGCTGTGAACCGATCAGAGATTGTCTCAGCAAACCTCCGAGCACACTCCCTCTCCTTCAGCCTGTCCAGATGAAACACCCTAGGGTGGTCATTGGGCCGCTGGGGAGTTTTGAAGTGTACCCGGAGGGTAGTCACAACCAATCTATAGTCAGTAACACAGAACTCAGCACTCCTGTACACCCTGCAGTTCTGGAGGATCCTCCAACGAGTGCTAACGAGAATGCGGTCGATCTCCTTGGTTGCATTACCCGCATCGCTGTACCATGTCCAACGATGTGGTCTGG